TATGACGCATAAAAAATATGAAAAATGCAATTCATTTATATTAAGTAAATAATTAAAAATTAATAACATCTCTCTACATATACCACTTTTACCTAAACCAGTTTTTTATGTACATAATAAAAATGTATATAAATATATTTATATATATATATATATATGTATGTATGAACGAGTATGTATATAAATCTTATTTACTTGCGTTAACACATACGCGAAAATACATTAAATGTAGACTTTATATATATATATGTATATATACATAAAAATATTATACATACACACATACATATATAAATAAATAAATAAATACATGCATATATGTGTGTACATGATGATGTGTACATGTTAACTAAGAAATTGTGATATTTACAGTGATTCGTTTTAAATAATTTAAGAATATTATAATTATTTAAATCGATAACATTTGCAAGATTGTTATTAAATTCTTCTTATTATTATTTCATTATTGTATCAATGTCTTTCTTTTCCTTATAAATTTAAGAATAAATATTAATTACATTTTCTTTTGTTGCTGGCTTTTTTTTTTTTTTTAAATAATGAATTGTTTTAAATATGAAATATCTCTGTGTCTCCATTTCGTACATTATTTAAACACATGTAAAGAAAATTTTTTTAATTTTTATTTTCAAATAAATGAATTAATAAATGGTATTATTTTCTTTTTGTTCTTTTTTTTTTTTGTTTTTTTAAATATTGATTAATGTACGTGTGAAGTAAAAAAAAATTTTTGTTTTTACAAATAATTTGCATATTTGATATTTAATAATAATCAACAGCTGACTAAGTTTAATACTTTTTATTGAATGTTTTATGAAAATATGTTCTATGTAAATAACAGATTTTTTATAAAGCAGACAAGTTTCTCGTGTTATTAGAAATACATCATAGTGAGTGGTCTCTGCTTAATTTTGTGGCTAAAACTTTGTAATTGTTTTGCACTGTTTTTTTAGTTTTTGTTTTGATCATATTTGAAGGGCTTATCACTGCTGTAAAATTTCTTTCAATTCTCCCATCCAGACCTGATTCTAGAAAACAGGATCCACGTTTTAAAGTTTCTTCTTTTTATTAGATGCTGGTGATTGCATTGTGTGTGAAGATAGCCGATTTAGCTTTTTTGACGGTTAATGCTTATTTAAAGTCAAATGTACGGAAATTATTACGTTATTAACATATTTGAGTTTCGTCAATTGTGAAGTTTATTGGTTCAATAAGATCCACTTTTATAACAAGAAAAAATCTTCATATAATTCGTAAAAGATGTTTTTTTTTTTTTACAAGAGATTCTCTAGGTTCCACTGGTTATATTGTTCTCCCCACCACCGAAGAGCGGGGAAATGAAAGCTTTTGTAACTTTAATTAAAATTCGAAATCCTTTTCGCAGACTTGTTTTTTTGGTCTTGACTTGTAATTACTTATTTAACAAGATATTATAAATAAATGCACTTAGAAGCATTTACTATTATGAAAGCAAGATTTATCTCTCATGTTATTAACATAGTAATGTGAAATATTTAGTATTACAAAATTTTTTCTCATGGTATAAACCAAGTAATCTGCTACGAAAACAAAAATTTTCTCTCATGCTATAAACGGAACAATGTACAATAGTTGCTTCTGCAAACTTCTATATAAATGGAACATAGTGAAATATTTTCACAAATGCTTGCTTGACGCGCGCTCTGTGACTTAAGATGAATATATATATGGTCAACATACCTAGGTGGCGTAAACCATTTTTATTACCATTTTCGAATTCTTCCTAGATTGCGATTTTAAAATTTTCTTTTCGCAGGTGGTCCTTATATGTTTATCTGTAAATTTGGTATAGTTCACACGATTTATTATACACATCTTAGATCGAAATTGCATTATTTGTAATCAATACTTTGACTTTCCTTTTTTTTGTTAATTATTTCCTTAGAATAATCTTTAATCGTTCTTTAATAAAAAAAAAAAAGATTATTAATTTTAATGACCTGCGTTACGCCCTTCAATACTACCACTACATAATTACAGGAAAAAAGAAATGAAAAGAAAAAAAAAATACAAAAACAAAAAAAAAAATTCTATTGTGCATATTTCGCTTAAATTATTCATTTATTTAAAGAAAGAAACAAAAAAATTAATAACAAAAGTTTTGTTAATGTTTAATACACGTTACACATGCATGCGTGCATACATTTACATACTTTTAGGAAATTATATATAAAAACGAAAAATTTTTATTATTATTTAACTTGTCTTGTTCTTCTTTCTGTCTCTATTAGGACATAAAATAAAAAAACCGAATATAAGAAATGATTAAATAAAAGCTTGTATTTAAAATATCAAAGTCTACGATATGTGGACCTTAGAGCTGCGTATACATATATTTATAAATATAAGTGATTATAAGTAAAATAAAAAAAAATAAAAAAAGAAAGAAACTGTTGTAAAATATATCGTCAATAACTTATCTTAATCCTCCTTATAACGACGTCATCTTACGTACATACTTACTTATGTAAATCTAAAAAAAATGTATTTAAATTAACGATAAAAATAAAAACTAAAAACATTTTGAAAAAAAGAAAAATTCAATAAAAATAATTACAAAAATCCTCAAAATAATTTTAATTAAAAAAAAGCCAACTTTTCGTTATAAATATTTAACACGTTAAGAACGACGCGTATCACCAGTGGTTCGCATACAAATAATTCATCTGGTTTAAAAAAAACTGCATCGTCCTCAACATATTAATAGGAAATCTTTAGTTGTTACAAAGAGATTTAAAATCTATGCTCTCTTTGACTTACGCTGCTTACAACGTGTAAAGATACCGTCTAAGGATTCAAATGATTTAATTTTTAATAATGTTTCGATTTTTTTTTTACCTCATTATAAAATGAGGTAGACGTAAATATTTATTTATTTCACATAATTTCACCCAATGCACGGAAACAAGTTTTGAGCATTTGATAAGGTATGTTCTGCGCCTATTGTAATAGAATCAGTTCCTATTCAGATTTGGATGAGAGTTGCGACTACCAAGTGCAAAAGCTCGGAGCGATTAAAATGAATTTGTCCTCAAAATGTTCACACCGACTTAACGAGAGGAAGAGAGAGATGCTAAGCGGTAGTAAGCGAGGAGTACAAATACACTTTATATCGCATACCAATAGCATATAACAATAATAAATTCTAACTTCATCATCTTTCAAACAACCTTCTTTTCAATAGTCATAGTATTCGCTTGCTCATTAGTCTGGATAATTTGGCACGAAAAAATCTTTTGCTATTTGACCCCAAAAATGTATCTTATGTCGGGCTGAAAAGAAAATTAGGTTAAATATATTTCCCGATCAATAACTGGAAAAATGCTGCATAAGGTGTCGACCGAGTAATATATTACTTGCGTCCATAATGTGCTAATGAAGCGGATGAGATCTTATTATAGCCTTCATAAATGTTATCTTAAAAGCTGATTACCTTTATTTTATTTTATATTCATCACATGTTCCACTTTTATAATATTTGTTCTACTATTCTTCTCTATTACATAACATTTTTAGTACAAAAAGACATTGACACTTCTTTTATATTATATTACATTTGACTGTTTGAGGCCAATTACACAACCATAAACCGGAAGGACAAACGAAATCAAAACGGACACCCTTTAGACATTGATAAAAACGCGAACAATCTTTAGGATATGCGTACAATCCTTTTGAAGGACAATCCCCTACCGAGGGGGAGACAGTGCTTGCTGGTATTGGATTGGAGGGCAATTCATTGATATCCTTGCCCAGCTTTAAGTTGATTGTGCTTAAAAGCGGGTATTTCTTGCCGCATATACCTCGGAAATTATCCATTTCTATAGACCATAACATGGCTCCAGCTAAATTTAATGACTTTAACAAATCAATTTTCAGAGCAATGCTGCGTTCGTCGTCATAACCTACCCATTGGTCATTTTTATATTTATAAGGAACACCGTATAATCATACATATTTGGTCTAAAAAGTACAACATTTTCATTTATATATTTAAGGTTGTTTCTATCGAGCGATTAACGCTTGCTTAAAAACTCTCTTGTTAAAAACTCTTCTTGCACATCACGTTCAATTCCAGAATTGAAAGGCTTGGTATTAGGCTTTACCAATTTCGTCTCACATATAACAAAATCAGTTCCATATTTCTGCATCTGAAGTGGACGTGAACGTGCTACATTGCTGACTATAGGGCCATATCCATAGACTGAAGGTGTCTAAAAAAAAAAAAAAATAAATAAATAAATGAATGCAAGGAAAGTGAAATCTGTTCAGATCGAATTTGTAGTGGAAGAAAAACCTTTACCTTTTTCATTAAGTAATTTCTTCCATCCATACAAGCAGCCGGTCCGGGACTGCATGCTTGCTTTTATTTACAGACAGATAATGAATTTAAAGTGCCAATTACTTAATGAATATTGCGGCTGTTCGCCAGAGTGTCGATGGCACACATCAGATTTTATCAATAGCAATCGCAGACGAATCACATTCTCCGGTTAAGTCTGGGATGAATTGCTAAATATGCCCACAATTGTATCCCTCCAAAAGGATATCCCCATCATTTGGTCATTAAGACGACGATGCTACACATCAAACAACAGTTCTATGCAATATTGTGTGTTTAGGACTGTTTAAGACTGTTTAATGACATTCTATATAGTTTCGATCCGGAATTTCGCTATTTTAACAAAATGTTTACAACTGTTTACAACTGTTTAAGTTTAAGACTGTTTAAGACAACAAGTGGGTGTTCGCGGGTTAACCTCAGCAGTTTCGCCATCGTAGCTACAGTGAGTGTTCGGTCGATAAAGATATAAGACTAGACTGCGGCCACCTCCTACCTCATGCCCTACTTCTTTCCAAGTATTTGGTCACATTAAAAAAAAAAGCTTAAATACGCCTGTGAAAACAACAATTTGAAGCGTGTATGGTTAAATGTTCTACGCGCTATGTTCCTTCATTCATCAAATTTTTCAAAGAACACTCTTATAACGTCTACACGTCTATGTAATGAAAATTCTGAACATCTTCGTTTTCCGTGTTTTTTGCTTGTTACTCATAAAGTACAAGGAATACACCAATTAAATTTTCGTGTTGCTTCTAAAAATAGAAAAAATCCATCGCATCCACTTAATGTGATAAGGTATAAAAATTATATTTTTTCCTTAGGATCACGACGATGGATATAAAAGATTCGGTCTCGACCAATTGCAACATTTTTACTTGTTAATTATAATAATTTTCATTAATAATTATCACAATTATTTAATTGAACGAATGGTAGACGTGAGTACATCCGCTCCCACTAACTTTTACATGTAATAAATAAATAATTCCCATCTTTTGCCAGAGAAATTTTTTGGGAAAATTCAGGAAATTAAGAGGTTATTTCCGTTTTGTGTGAAGTTGGATGTAAATCTTTGAATTCGTGGAGTAAGCAAGAATTGCGCATCCTTGCATAATTTTTCGGTATTTGAAAAAAAACAGTTGCTTTCCTCAAGTTTAAGTGTTTGTATTTTTATTGTTTTTATTCCTCAATTAATCTGAGAGGAACAGGGCACTTATGAGGCATTTAAATTTAAGTTGAATGGATCGAAAGCAACGAATGGTAACGCTTATGGTAATACTTATCAAGCATGAAACATCTCTTATCTCTTTACGAGGTATCTTCGAGTTTTATAGGTTTTTATGTAAAAAAATAAATAAATAAATACAAACTTAGAAAAGAGAAAAAAATAAAAACACTTTAAATCAAATTTAAAAGTTACTTGTCATTTAAGTACAGTCCTGATATCGAATAATTTTCATACATAACAAGAGGAAGAATTGTAAAAATTGTGTGAGCAAGAAGAAGAATTGTAAAGGCGTATGACAAAGTTGCGGTTAGGTGTTGTAGTTACGTAAGCAAGTTCATTCAATATGTTTCTATCTAAAATTTGAATTTTAGCCCACCCCCTTGCTTTCAAAGTGGAAGCCAAGATGTATATAAATCAATATATATAGGTCCACGCTATTTCCTTTTAGTTCTTAATTTCACTACCAAGCAAATTTTCGAATTGTTGTTGGTGTTATTTTTTTTTTTTTATCAAACCATATCTTGGTTTGATCCAACCATTTACATCCATTTCCTTATTTTTACCACGCAGGCTTTGTTTCTGGTTGCGGCCCGAAATGCCTAATAAGCACACATGATTTTTTGTGTGCTGTGCTCTCCTTAAAGAAAGAAAATTGTTGCCATTCGTAAGAAAATTCTCGAAACATTAATTTTTTCTTAATTATGGCAACATTTGCAATTGATAAGCATATAAACAATAAAAAAGTGTGGTTTCGCGGAATAAAAGTGCAATTTATTGGATGAATGACTGCGAGACCAAACTAATAAATAATAATGGATGATCAGGCTTGCCCACGTTGCAAGACCACAAAATATCGTAATCCTTCACTAAAGTTGATGGTTAACGTATGCGGGCATACGCTTTGCGAGTCATGTGTGGATTTATTATTCTTGAAAGGGTCCGGCTCTTGTCCAGAATGTTTGGCACCCTTAAGACGAAATAACTTTCGTGTACAACTGTTTGAAGATCCAATGGTGGAAAAAGAGGTCGACATACGTAAACGTATTTTGCGTGATTATAATAAAAAAGAAGATGACTTCGCTTCACCGCAAGAGTACAATGATTATCTTGAGGAAATAGAAACTATTGTTTATAATTTATGCAACAATATTGATGTGATTGGTACCAATAAACGTATTGAACAGTACAAAAAAGAAAATCGTGAATTTATACAAAGAAATAAAACCCGTATGGGTCGTGAAGAATTTGAGCTCGAGGAAGTCCTAGAATTGGAAAAGGCTCAAGATGAATGCAGAAAGCAAGAGTTATTAGCGTTGGAGACTGAACAAAAAAAGAAGAAGGCACGCGAAAAAGAAGCCCTAATAGATGAACTTATGTTTAGTGGTAAGGATGCTTCTGAAATTGTTAATGAATTTGCCGAAAAGGTTGAAAAATTGCGAGAAGAAGAAAAACAAGTGCCACCACCCAAACCTGCCACACAATTCTCTACGGGTATTAAATTTGGACGTTCGGCAGATCATCAGTTTTTGCCTGTGCCCAAATTGGAAGAAGGTCCATTATACGTTCATGAAGCTCCCATTCTCTTTGTGGAAGGACCAAATTCTCCAACTGTCTTTGAAATCGAAAACAAAGGCTTTATGACTCACATAAGAAGCGAAAATATTATAGAGCGAGCTGGCGGCTACCGTTCTCTAATAGCTTGCCAACGTGCTTTGCAAGATGCTATGCAGGGCTTATTTTATGGCACTGAAACATAAATCTCTAAATGAAATCTCTAGGATGTACGTAAATTGGAAAAATAATTGTCGAGTTGTTAAAGGTGTTTCAAAACACGAAAATTTCTCTTGAGTTCTCAGCACAATTCAAGTTGGTTAGAGAAACGGTAATATATCTACAGGGAACTGAAAAGCTTTAGCAAAAAAGGAACTGATTGTATATTTAAAGTATAAAAAAAATATCTCTCAGGACTGAAGAAAACCTTAGTTCATAATAGTTGAGCAAGTGTTTATTTATTCCGCAGTTTATTTATTCGCATACTCAGGTATCAAATGTATTCCAAATTCTGTTGCTCTTAATATTTCAAATAAATCGGTTTAAGTTTCCTAAACATTAAATCTATGTGTTTATTTAAGTATTGCTGTAAACTGATTAATTTCACCTGGAGAGAATTAAAACAAATGCTATGGGTATGCCTACATATTTGCGACTTTGCTGCGTCTAGCTGGAGCGTTGTACTTGACGCCGCACCCAATAAACTCTTATACCACATGTAATGTATAACAAAGAGATATCAGACAACCAATAGCGAAATTTATTATGAAGGAGCGCTTACTTCTAATTACCAAAGTTGTATTACTTACACTACTTAGCACTGGTTCAAATGATTATATTGGCAATTTTATTGATCAGCGATCGTAAAATTAGTGCTTGTGTTTTGTTTGTCCACCTTTGAGTCACTTGGTATCAAATAACGTATTCCGAAACAAACGTGACAATAATAAAATTCTT